TATATATATATCACAATTCGTATTTTGTTTCTTGCAATTTAGAGAAAAAAAGTCAAATTGCGAGATCAAAACTAAAAAAATCAGACTTTTTGTCTTAGTTCTCACAGTTCTGATTTTTTTTCTTGCCATTGCGAGTTTATATCTTGCAATTCTGAGAAAAAAGTCAGAATTGTGAAAAAAAAAAAAGTTGCAGTTATGGGTTTCCATAATCTATATAAATATTTATTTGAATATTTGTAAGTTTTGTTTGTTTTGTCGTTTTTAATTTTGCTTTTTTGGTATGATCTGCATTTTATTTTTGTCCATTCATCTTTTTTTTATTATAACTTTTTTTCAGTAGTTTAATGGCGTGAGATTCCAATCGTCGTTGATTTAATTTGAATATTTGTATATTGTAAGCTACATTTTTGGTTACACATTGAACTCAAAATCACACGCAGAGAAAGACACGGCTTGCTTCCACGTCAAGGAAAATGCCTGAAGCAATATGAATTAATTCTGTAATGTTCTCCATTCAGTTCAGTTGGTCTACTGATATGTATTGTTGCATGTGTGCATACTACTACTTTGCCATTATTAGTGAATGTCATTGCTAACTAGATGGTTTGTCACAACACTGCACAAGCAGCCCTGTTAATGAGCTTATTCCCAACCACATCACCCGTCCACATTTCCTCTTACAGATGCTTATGTTGTAGATGTATTATAGCCACACCTTCAGTGCTTCGACGTGACCCAGCCATAACAATTGTAAAGATTTCGAAGGCCTTATTTTTATACCTGGACTCTTCGTACTGCATCTCTAAATCTGACATTAGAGGTGTTAATAGGCATTTCTCTCATTCCTAAGACGAGCTCCTGTGTCCTTTATACAGTTTTTGTGTCCTGTTGGCTCATGTGTTCTCAATGATATAGATGTGTATTTTCAGGTTTGATGATATTTGCATTTCAGCTGTTACAGAAATACATTTTTCTTACCTGCTTGCTTGTGTTCTTGATTTGCATTCAAGTGTCAGTGCCAAGCCAAGTGCTTATTTATTTAGTGTTTATTCTTACAGAAGAATATCCATCCATCCATCCATTGCAGCCTGCGTTTGACCTGCACGAGCTCATATAAATGAATTTTCGCGCGCGAATCTCGGCTGGCGGTATCCTAGCAACGCAACTACTCGGCACCTGAGGTCAGGTCAGGAAAAGTTTACATAGCTTATACTTATTTTATATTTTTACATTATATTATTTTACGATTTCTGATCCGTACATCTAAATATTGGTCACTGATATCGGTTTTATCAGTAAGAAGTTCGTTTCATTAAATAACGTCCTAGTATTAATATTATAAACATTACTACAGTACCTATGTAATTAATGAGCTAATATGTTATAGCAGTCATATAATCTTACTGAAATAATGTATAGCTAAATTTTAAAAATGTAATATAATATGACCCCTGCGTGTGCTAATAATAACTATTGTCAGAAACGTACTTTAAAAAAAAAAAACGAATTTAGCCTAAAGTAAATTTATTTGCACTGGCATTTGCGTGATATTCAGTGATTTATTGTAGTTAGGGTTATATATTGATTATATAGTAGGTAATAATATATTGTTATTATATCGATACTGATTAATAAGTTTAGATCATATCACCTTATTGAAGTAGTTTCTACATATTAATGGAAGAAATACATTTCTTTAAATGTATTTACATACATAAACACTATACTATGTATTTTAATTAGCCTAAAGTATATTTGAATTAACTTTCAAATGTATAGGAATTAACTATTATAATCGTTAGAATTACAAATGTAATACAATTGTAATTTTTTTAAAACACGGAAAGAACGTACTTTTTTTAATTTAAAAACTTTTTTGAGTTTATAAAATAGCATGCGCGCATAAATATTTAACTATAAATGTCCTTCTTTTTTTTTGTTAGAAACTTTTACATTTGAAGTAAATGTATTTGCATTGGCATTTGCATGATAGTCAAAGCTATTTACTGTAAACGTAGATTTTAGTCCCCTGGGTCGACCTAAGGTTAAATGTCTTCTTTGGCGACAGTTTGCGAATCGACTCGAACGCGTGAGCACTCAGACCGGCTCGGATCTCGAAGCACTAGGTCACGGCACCCTGATAGATCTCCAGTGTTTGCTCAGTAGGACACGTGCATGTGGTGGAGGCGTCACGCACCTTCCAACAGC